TGACCAAGGTACATCCATCAATCCATGTCGATGAGAAATTGAAGTCGAGCATATGGAAAAGAGTTCTCATAGACTCAACCGGTAGAGTGCAGTAGTTGTGTACTGTAGTCGTGGTACACTGGGCGTGATCGTATTTCGACGAGGTTCTCCGTGATTGCTCTCGTTCAATGTGCAAAACGCCAGTGCGTAGACCAATAAAAACTTCAATACCGGTAGTACTATGGAAAAGGCGACGATGTATTCCTTGTTGAAGAACGCATTGTTAAGACTATTCGGCTGTACGCAGCCAACGTGAGAAGCCTGCAGAGTCTACCTCGAGGCCACACGCTTCCGACGGCGACATAGATGTTGAAGTCGTTCGTTTAACGCAGCCAACTGGATTCCCATACCAGCTACGCTGCTCACTGTGATTGGTTTATTCGATACCATCGGAAACTTCGCATCACAGGGTTTCATTTGGTAATTTTACCAGTAAAAAATCATCGACCAAGGTGCACCCACCAGTGCATCTCGATGAGAATTGATAAAGATCGCTGATTTTGAATATCCAACCAAATTCACAACAGTAATAGGGTCGCTGACCCACTAGAAATCTAAACATACGAGGTTGACCAGCTACACCTAACTCACTCCTTTTCTTGTCATCCTTATTGAACGAGCTGAATGGGGTGCGTTTATGGCTGGGATATACTTACGGTTAAAACTTGGGTAGTATTGAACAGCATTAAATATTACTTCGAAGTAATACCAAGCTTGCATGATTTTTCGAATTACCAGTGTGAATTTGGATATTCAAAATCAGCGATCTTTATCAATTCTCATCGAGATGTATTGGTGGATGCACCTGTGAATTTTTACTGGTAACGTTACCAAACGAAACCCTGTGATGCGAAGTTTCCGATGGTATCGAATAAACCAATCACAGTGAGCAGCGTAGCTGGTATGGGAATTCAGTTGGCTGCGTTAAACGAACGACTTCAACATCTATGTCGCCGTCGGAAGCGCGTGGACTCGAGGTAGGCTCTGCAGGCTTCTCACGTTGGCTGACAGAGCTAAGGTTGCGCACCCAAGACGCGGAAGTTGGTAGTACATTAGACTTACGGACCAGCATTTAATATTAATATCATCCTTGGATACTAAGTTATACTTCGAAGTATAATATAAATGTTGAATTATAGCGTGGATTGGATGAAACCTAACTGTAAACTAAGCTTAATGACCAACCCTTACGTTGGCCCGGAGGCTCGGGGGGCCGTCTGCGCAAGCGAGGCTGTGCGAGAGCGCGGATCTAAGCGTATCGCTTCACCAAATGACCTACTTTTCCTATTTACTCTCGTCTCAACGAATCAGGATATCGCCTAATATTAATGTTGGATGACGTTTGGATGCTGGTGGATGACGCATGATACTACCAAGCATTTAGAAATCCATACGAGTACTGTAGTCACTATTAAT